TAAATCCGATAACAATGTATTATAATACCTGAGAATCTACAACTATTGATGAAACACACTTGAGTATATTCTCGTGGCAGAGAAGTTTCATCATGGTCACCTCATGCTGAATATAGTGCGCGGCATCCTCCTCTAGATATTTATATTTTTAAAATCTTAAGTAGTAATCTTTGTTTGTCTGAAGTGTTTGTATGTCCAATCATAACTCAAGAACCTTAAGACCGATTTGACCAAAACTTTGATTGGGAAACTCGGTAGAACTATGGGATTGTTATAGGCTTGGTTTAACAATTCTTAGTTTAGTTCGTAACTTATATCCAGAAAGTTTAGATTTCCTCCCAATGCTGGGTTCCCAAGCTAGTTTACAATATTGTTTAACTAATTCAGAGAAACTAAAAACAACTTATCATTTCTCAATCACCATCAGAATTCAATAAAAGTATAAATCCATCGTTAATCAAATCAAATCAAATCAAATCAAATCAAATCAAATCAAATCAAATCAAATCAAATCAAATCAAATCAAATCAAATCAAATCAAAATCAAATCAAATCAAATCAAATCAAATCAAATCAAATCAAATCAAATCAGATCAAATCAAATCAAATCAAATCAAATCAAATCAGCCTTTTTGGAACATCCTAGTCCCGTGCCATATTCCCAATTAATTTCCAAGTAAGTGCATAGTCCCTTAACCTCACAACAGAACAAGATGAAAAATTCTACATAAATCAATAACATAATAAAATATACTATATTGACCTGCTCTTGTCTCAATAGTTCCCTCCAGTCCACCTTCATTGTATTTTTTGATGGCAACCCATTTACCACTAAAATAGGGATACCATTTATTTTTCAAAAATAGTTTTATTTTAATTTGGAGTTAAACTATTTTATTAGTTATTTGTAAACTTTTGATACTCAACAATAAAGCATACGTAAAAATAATATTTTACTTTTTCTTATATTTTGCGAGGTGCACAAAAGCTCCAAGAGAACCGGTTGTTCCAAGTAGCTTGCCAATCTGTAAACAAACAAACATTTAAATAAACATAGAGTTACTCAAATAAACAAAGAATAAAAAAATCCCAAACAAATATCATAACAACAAATATTTAAAAAAAGAATTAACAAAAATGGTAATAAACAAACAAACAATCAACAATGTGTCAAAAACATGTTAACTAAACAAATATATGTAAATATACAGACAAAAAATAAACATATTTAAAAATAAAAAAATATGTTTGAAAATTAACAAATGTGTTTCAAAATGAGCAAAATATTTTATAATAATTAAATTAGGGCAATGACAGGACCATGTCCAGATTACTAATTAATTTTCATAATAAGTCTTTTTCTTTGAAATCTAATTAAGTCTTTAACTAACCTGAAACTGGGATTGCAGAGAATCCACAGAATTAAATGTTGACATTTTCTCAAATTTTTTACAAAATAATATTTTCTAATCACTATGTTTCGTCTTTTAAACACACACACACAATGTCTAAATCACAAATGTAATTGATGCAGTAGTCCTGATAGTCAATGTGCGAATCAATCAATCAAACTAAAATCACGAATGTTTAAACAGAAAAGATTTGTTTAATCAGTTTTCTTGTCTCCTGTGGCAGTAGTGGCGTGAGGAGAATCTGAAATTTGGACAAAGATTATTTTCTTTTTATTTTAACAATTATTGAAAATATTTAATAAAACTCACCGGCTGTAACTTCCTTTGTTTTAGCAAATGGGCACTTAGCTTCAGATTTAGTATCAGAATCCGTAGGAACAGGGGTAGTTTCAACCTAGATAGATAGTTAGATAGATAGATAGATATGGATAGTTAGATAGATATGGATAGTTGGAAGATAGCCTTTAAGATAGTGCGTGATAGAGAAATATATTGTAAATGGATAAATTTGGATAATTTAATAATAAAACTAATGAGAATGATATTATCAAATCAAACATCATGGATAGATAATTAAATAAGACAGGTGAATTAAGACGCACACTGAAACAGTTAAATAGTAACAATTTTTTAATAAATATTCAATACAAAATGTCTTAAAACATTTTTATGAATCAGAAATGAGTAAGTTTTACCAATATTGTGAGGGATAAGTAATAGGTATTAAAAATTTTTTTTTCTTAAAATTTTTATTTATTTTTTACCTTGGCCCAAGGGTTGTAAAACTTCAGAACAATCGGTTGAAGAAATCTACAAAAAAAAAGTTAAAATAAAAATAAAAGTAAACAAAAGAACAGTTCCTTTGATAAAGTCTAACTGTGCTTAATAGTTGAACACTTCCTTTCATAAGGTCTACCTCTTCTAAATGAATTATCACTTCTTTTAATAAAGTTTATCAGTGCTAAATAGTTAATCAATCACTTCCATTAATAAAGTTTACTTGTGCCGAAAGATTGAACACTTCCTTTAATAAAGTTTAACTCTGCCAAATAGTTGAACACTCCCTTTAAAAAAGTTAACCTGTGCTAAATAGTTGAACACTCCCTTTATTAAAGTCTACCTGTGCTAAATAGTTGAACACTCTCTTTATTAAAGTTTACCTGTGCTAGATAAATGAACACTCCCTTTATTAAAGTCTACCTGTGCTAAATAGTTGAGCACTCCCTTTATTAAAGTTTACCTGTGCTAAATAGTTGAACACTCCCTTTATTAAAGTCTACCTGTGCTAAATAGTTGAACACTCCCTTTAATAAAGTTTACCTGTGATAAATAGTTGAACACTCCCTTTATTAAAGTTTACCTGTGCTAAATAGTTGATCACTCCTTTAACAAAGATTACCTGTGCTAAATAGTTGAACACTCCCTTTATTAAAGTTTACCTGTGCTAAATAGTTGAACACTCCCTTTAACCATGTTTACCTGTGCTAAATAGTTAAACACTCCCTTTAATAAAGTTTACCTCTGCTAAATAGTTGAGCACTCCCTTTATTTAAGTCTACCTCTGCAAAATAGTTGAACACTCCCTTTATTAAAGTTTACCTCTGCTAAATAGTTAAACACTCCCTTTATTAAAGTTGATCTCTGCTAAATAGTTAAACACTCCCTTTATTTAAGTCTACCTCTGCTAAATAGTTGAGCACTCCCTTTATTAAAGTTTACCTTTGCTTAATAGTTGAACACTCCCTTTATTAAAGTTTACCTGTGCTAAATAGTTGAACACTTCCTTTATTAAAGTTTACCTCTGCTAAAACGTTCAGCACTCCCTTTATTAAAGTTTACCTCTGCTAAATAGTTGAACACTCCCTTTATTAAAGTTTACCTCTGCTAAAACGTTCAGCACTCCCTTTATTAAAGTTTACCTCTGCTAAATAGTTGAACACTCCCTTTATTAAAGTTGACCTCTGCTAAAACGTTTAGCACTCCCTTTATTAAAGTTTACCTGTGCCAAATCCAAAGCAGGACTGGTATAACTATGCAAGGCACACAGACCATTCTTCAACTCTGAAAATTTTCTTTCAATTTCAACATTCAAATAATTTGTATAATAATAACAATGATTTAAGTCAGCTAATGTACATCATATTCATGATACTGAAAATGCTCTTTAAGAATAAATGTAAAATCATTAAAATTTGTTTAAACTGTAATATCTTATTTTTTAAAATCTAATTTTTTAAAGGAAAAAGTTAAATATATCTTAAGCCTCCTAAATTTACAGAAACTTACATCTGAAATATAAACATTTAGCTAATTTGAGTAAAATAAAGTTTTTAAAGAGAGGTCGAAACAACTGAGTAAAGCCTAATTTTACAAAAAGAACAGCCGAAAAAAAAAATTAATATCTATACACAGTCTACATATTTTTTAAGAACTATAAAACATTGACTAAAATTGATCCACAGCAAAACGATACAAAAACAAATAAATACATTTTTTCTTCTTCTATTGTGTTAGTCCCATGTACTCTCTTGTATGATGCCACAGTACCAGACAAATCAAACTATGTGGCCCAATTCTAAAACAAAGTAAGCATTAAAAAAGAGGTAATTAAATAAATAAATCAATAAAAAAAAAAGAATGAAAGATGAAGGACACCAAAACAGGATTTTTTTAATGGTTTGATTAAATATTGATATAAGCTAAACTCCAAATTTACTGGAATTTTAACAGAAATATATTCAAATAGTAAAAATTTATAAAAAGAGACTGATAAGACTAAAGTGACCATTTTGNATTAGTTCCAAAACTAACACTTGGCTCATTTGTAACACTGAGTGTTAGAAATGGGCACAAATTGAAAGACTGGGTTTTTGGAATCCAGGCCCATATCCAGAGTAAAAGTCGATAATAAAAACTATAATTCACATTTTATTAAACATGACGAGGACAACAATTCCCAATTTTAAACTTTTTTAAATCAAAATTATTATACGAGTTCATTTTATATTAAAGCTCTTGACCGTTTTCAAGACAATGTTAGGTTTTCCATTTTCAATCATATCCTGAATTTGAAACACTGTCGCGTTTTCGAGACAAAACCCACTTTCTCTTTTTTGAGTATAATTCTTCACAATTCAAAACAAAACTCACTTTCATAACTTACAAAATAAATCACTGAAAACAAAAACTATCTTATGAAGACTAAATTAACTTCTTAATTATTTCTAAAATCTAGAATCACACCTTATTATTAGTTTGAAATTGACACTTATTGTTCCAATATATAGTCTTAGCCATTTTTTATAAATATATGGTGTAATTTTGTTCTATTCGTCTTGGATTTAAAGATATATACTCTTGAAAAAGATAACTTTGCAGATTTGGCCCATTTCTAACACTCAGTGTTAGAAATGGGCCAATAGTTAGTTTTGGAACTAATAGCCCCTGGAATATTTACCTATTGGTCCGGGGTTGGTTGTATAACCGGGTAGAGATAACATCAAACGGATTGATAACTACTGATATCACAAACCCTAAATAACAAGGAATATAACAAACCCAAACTAACAAAGAATATAAAAAACTCTAAATAACAGGGGATGTAACAAACCCTTAATAATAAGGGATATAACAAGCCTTAGATTACAAGGGATATAACAAACCTAAAATAACAAGGGATATAACAAACCTTAGATAACAAGGGATAAAACAATCCCAAAATAACAAGGGATATAAAAACCTTAGATAACAAGGGATATACAAACCCAAAATAACAAGGGATATAACAAACCCTAAATAACAAGAGATATAACAAACCCTAAATAACAAGGGATATAACAAACCCTAAATAACAAGGGGTATAACATACTATAAATAACAGGGGATGTAACAAACCCTAAATAACAAGGGATAAAACAAACTCTAAATATCAAAAGATATAACAAATCCTAAATAACAACAGATTTAACAAACCCTAATTAACAAACTCTAAATATCAAAAGATATAACAAATCCTAAATAACTAAGTTCCCTATCTATTAAAAAAGCTAGAAAGTCGAATTCCTGTTTTTCATTATTATGGATTGAAGTATGAAGTCCAACCGGGGTAAGTAATATCAATTAATGAAACTGTCTTGTATTATCATGCAGGGCAATATGTTTTTTTGGCCGGGATTTTTGCTTTATTTGTTTGTTTAAGGTTTAAATTCAAGAATTTTAAACAGGAACATACTGAGTGATAACAAATCTTTAACTTAAATCGAAAACAAACAAAAAAGTAAAAATACATATTTTCCCAAATGATAACACGACAGGGATATATAACTTTATTCAATTAATGTTTAATAATATTGTGTGTTTTTTTCTTAAAATCCGCGAAATAAAAAGGGAAACCTGCTTTACCGATATGAAGTGTTACTTATTTGCCTCGGAACAAAAAAAGAAACTTTTTATATCCAAGATCATTAAATTATGAGTAAAATGCGGGATAAAAATTCTCTCAAAATTAAATTAAGATATTTTTCAGGGGGGGGGGGGCATTTTAATTCCACCCCCAGAATAATTTGTTTAAAGAAGACATTTCGGAAAATGCTTTAACTCAGAATTGTTTCTGGAAAAGTTGGTAGCTTTAGCTTTCCTCCCCATCAGCATCCTTGAAATTATTTCTGGATTTTACGATAGACTGAATCATCCCACGTCATTCAACAGAACCCATCGGCATTAACGCCTTTATGGTGTTTATCAATTATGAGTTTAAGTAAGGTTTGATTTCAAGATTGATAAATTAGTAAACATTAACTTTCTTAATCCAATTGAATAGTTGTTTTCAACAAACCTGATAGAAAAGCTCCAACTAGGTTATTTTGCCAGCTTCCTTTCTTCCCCCAGCCCAACCGATCTATTAAAGGAGTTTAATACAAACCATAAGAAATAAAAAAGAATGGGTTTATTTGAAAGGAAACCCGGCATGGAGATCCCAAGACCACCAAGTCCGAGCGCATCGCATCAACATGCAGCATATACTGCCGGGACCCATTTATAATAATTTAAAAATAACTAATCTTCAGAACAATATCATTATATGCCTGTGCAGTGTGCACTCAGACTTACCCTTGCAAAGCATTAGCATTTCTAGACCATGGTTGAATGAACTGGCTCTCATTGATATGATACGATTTATAACATTATGGGTTCAAAAGAGTCTTTTTGTGATTTCATAGCTCTCATCTGGATTAATTCTCATTTTGAAATTATTTTACTTATTTTCTGTAGAAACCCAGTGCTCACTTTCTAGATATGCTACAAGCAAGTTTGTAAATAACAAAATGTGGTTGAATAAAAAAATAAACATAATCTATCTATTGTTTCTTAGATAATGATTTAAAGTTATTGTTATAGTATTAGAAAATGATCATGAAAGATCCCCAGACTGCCATCCGAGTAAGGTTCTCAGTCAGGAATCTTAAATGTAATCTATATTTACTGATACACATCAAGATTTTCCAATCAGGTCCCCCAACCAGAGTTACTTTTCTAAGATTCAACATTTTCAACTCCTGGCTTTATACCTAGCTTCTCTTGGGTGTAACTGTATGTGACTAACTGAGCAGCACTTCCAATACTAGATTTATATTATTAATTTCAATCATGTGAAAATATTTATTTTGGTGTCCAATTAACATAATGATGCTGTTAATGTTAAATTTTAATGAAATTAGTAACAATATTAATATAATTAAATCCCTAATTCTAGGAATGGAAGACGAGGCTCCCTGCCATAAACCACGAATCCCTCCATCATTGTAAATGGTTCTAAAAAAAAATAATTGTTTGTATTTTGGGTCTGACAAATCAAGTATTTTATCAACCATACAGAATTGTGATTAAATATAAACCATATATTTGTTCAATGCACCCTCCTTTGTTAATTAGAGGTTAAAATAATTACAAAAACTAAGACTGTGATTGAAAAAGAATGTGACAGAATTGAAGGGACACAGTAAATACCTAAAGGCACTCAGTTCTTAATTACAGCCCTGAATAGTTCTATATATTCAAGGGTCTGTACTAGTCTCTTAAAGAGTGTACAAAGTAAGTACATTTGTACATGAAGATACTTCTGCAAAACGGAAGCCACCAAGTGCCAGAAGGTACAAATGGAGAACCAGAGGGGACTAAGAAAATACCTAAAAGCACTAAGCATGTTTTCATGGTTGTGTTGGGTTCCTACAGAAATCTGAGAGGAAGATGAAGTTTGAAGCTGGGTTTTCACAAGGAAAATCGGGGATCCAACTTGTCATTAGAGGTCGTTAGAGGTCATTAGAAGGTCAAACACTGGATTTGTTGCTGCAACTGTATTCCTGGGGTTTCTAGCTTTCGTTTGATATGCATAAAGCCATAGTTAAAACATTTTCATTTTTGGAGGTCATTTAGGTCATTAGAGGTCGTAAGAGGTCATTAGAAGATCATACACTGTATTTGTTGCTGCTACTGTATTCTCTGGGTTCCTAGCTTTCGTTTGATATGCATAAAGCCATAGTTGAAATATTTTCTATTTGTGGAGGTCATTAGAGGTCATTAGAGGTCATTAGAGGTCATTAAAATTCAATTTTATTTTATTTTAGGAATTTCGAACCCTAATTAGGCGTGCGGCCAAAAAATTGCAAGATTTGAACCAAAAATGAAGGCATCAAATGTGCCAACTCCACCATCCCCTTTAAGAAAAACAAAAAAGTAAATAAATAGATAAACTAATCAGCCATCGTAAATCTGAATTGGAAATATTACATAATCAAATAATTTTTATCTCTCTCTAAACACTTCTTTGAAGCACCTAATGCTAATACTTACCAAATCCTCCAATCACACCCGATATAACACTACAGCCTAGTGACCTCGAAAGACTAACTTCACCTTCCTTAGAAGTTTAAAATCTTCAAGAATAATAAAAAATTCCTTTCCTCAGGGTTGAATTCCCAGATCACCATTATTTGTTCTAACTACTATTTTTTTATCTAAAAAATATTCACCCCCCACCTTAATTATTTTATTTTTTTTAATCTAATTAAGATTAAATCTTTCCTTGTTGGTTAAACAGCCTTTGTTTTCAAGTTCTGCATAGATTCCTAGGCGTAAACCATTCATTACCAACTAAACAGTACAATTAATAATCTAACAAATCAAATAAAATACTTATTGAAGTAATCATTATATTATTTACATTAATAAATGAAGGTTTCAGTATGAATGAATGAAAGAATGAATAAGTAAACATCTTTAAATGGTAACAAACAATACTTTAAAAAAGTTGGATAATGTCTGAAGGGTTTTCTTACTTGGTAAAGGCAGGCTGGAACCAGGCCAGATTGAAGAGCTAGAATTCCATCTGTACGAGCCAGTACATATAGACCATGGAAGGGACCCCTATCAATAGTAATTAATGTGCACACATTCAAGTGTTGGCAGACTTTAAACTTGAATCATTATAAAATGTGAAAATAATTTAAGGATATAAGATTGTTAAAAAAAAAAGGTAGCCACTTCCAAGTGTGATTACTGGTCATGGCGATTCTAGTTTAGTCAGTTTAAACTTATAAGTCCATAAAAAGGGGTTGGTAGAGCAAGAATATTTGGGAGGTGAATCTGAAACTTAGTCATGCTAAGCACAAAAGCTAAACAAATCCTACAGTAACACCTTCCTTAAAAACAATAAGTTTGGAGAAATTTCTTTTATGTAGTACCGTAAGGTTTATGAGAGCTGAACTGCAAATGAAGCCATATAAAAGAAATTACATCATATCTGTGTATTATGTAAAGTAAGAAAGAGGGAAAATATCTGTTACAAGGAGGAATTAATTCACATGAACACAAAACACATAACAATTTAGGGTGGGTAAAAATTTTAGCCTTCAAGATCCATTTAAATCAATCCCACAAAATAAAACAGTAAGGGTTTGGACGGAAACCTGAAAACAATACTTCCCATGTGTAAAACATAAAAGCCTTAGGATATTCTTAATACAGAAGAAAAAATACAAAAAAAAAACAGAAAAATAGCAAAACAACAGAAAGTAACTCTGGACAGCTATCAGAGCTCTGGACTAACAAATGAAAATAAATATCAATACCTATATGTCTGAGCATAATTCCCCCTGGCTTTAAGTTCCCCCTGTAATTGTAACCGATTCTTTACAACCTTCAAACAAAAATTGTAAAAAAAAATTATTTTTGAAAATAACTTTTTTTTAGACAAATAGCTTTAGTAATAATAAGTGAGATGTATTTGTCATTGTTAAAATAATTATTTTTATAATTGTTAATCTTGTTTTAATTCCTACCTCTAGAGGATTTGTAAACAAACATGCCCCTGAGGCAGCCAATCCTCCAGCCAAAATCTCCATTTTTAAAGATTTTTTTTTACGAAAACATAGTCTGAAATTAATAGTTTGAATTTATCACAAGAAAATATCACACGCCCATCACAATGAGAAAAGGATGTTTAATATCTCCAGCTAAAATCTCCATTTTTAAAGATTTTTTTTTTACAAAAACATAGTCTGAAATTAATAGTTTGAATTTATCACAAGAAAATATCACACGCCCATCACAATGAGAAAAGGATGTTTAATACTAATTACTAGAAAGTTGAAAGCAGCAAAAGGCCACATTGATCACATTTAAACAACATCTTAAAAAAGCCAAAGAAAATGATTTTTATTATAACTTTTGACTCAATGTTTAGTGATGAGCAACCACTTGGTTTTGGGGTGTAAAACAGGTACTACAAACAAATGAGAAGTTTCACAAATTATAATTTTTGGGGTTTTGTTAAAGGATTAAATTTTTAATTGTTAAATAAAAGCAAACTTTTACAGATAACAGTTATAAAATATTTGATCCTTATAGATTTTAGTGGTGCCTTTAGAAAAATCAGGTCCAAGCTTTTACTTGTATTAAATAATTAACAATCTAGTGGATGGTACCATAGTAAGAATAACTTATGAACTTCTGTTTCAACATTTTCTAAAGGCTGAATTTAGGTAGCATCATAAGCACATTAAACATATAGTTAGCCCGGTCAACTTAATTGCAAACAACACTTGTCATACAGCAGCCTCAACAAACTTTTCTTGTTCCCTTATCATTAATACAGGTAGCACTCTTTCAGTGGAATTACATAAAAAACTGGATTTCTACATAACTTTTGATATGGTTATGGACATCTGTGGATTATCACTTTTTATAGTTATTTCATCAAATGATTGGGAAACAAGACAAAATGTGGTTGAGAATTTTTTCCTTTTTCACAAGAACTAGACATTTAGATTATTTCACAAGAGTTATGTAATTATAGATATATTTGATGGTCTCCACAGATGTGTGATTTTTCTCTGAGTTAGCAGAATAGAGCTTTTTCTAGATCCTCTCAGCAACAGAATAGAATGAGGTTTTTCTGAAGGAGTTGGCAAGGTTAAATCTCAATACTGTCACCATTAATTTTCAATGTCTCTGAGATTGGGTTATAAAACAGTTTTATAATTGAGGAATCCTAGATTTTTATTAATGACTTGATATCTATCAGTAACCTTTTTTGCAGGCATTACACTATTTATGCTATGTCTCTACTAGATTTTCATTGGACCATAAATCAATTTTCATTCATTGGAATTAATGCTCTGCCTCTACAGAATTATTTTGCCTTGACAATAAAGTAACCCTCCTTCAGTGGATAATGGTTGACCTGCAAAAATAGTTCTTAGAATTACAGGCTATATGACTGCTAGATTTTCACCTGACATCAGTAAGCACTACTTCAGTGGAGTTACACGCAATGCCTCCACAGGATTTTAACATTACCATTAATTGTTTTCCTTGGGATTTTCACTTCTCCTCGGGTTTCAGCTGACCATCTTTCAAAATTCTTTAATAAAATCAAAGTCTATGCAAAATTTCATTATTATTGCTAAGATACCACTTTTTCAGTGGAATTACATGCTATGTCTCCACAAGATTTCCTCCTGAACAGTAAAAATTAAATTAAAATTATATAATAAATTATATAACTGCTAGATTATCATCAACTGACATCAGTGAGCTCTACTTCAGTGGAATTACACGCAATGCCTCCACAGGATTTTCACATTTCTAATAACTGTTTTCCGTGGGATTTTCACTTAATCACCACTATGCTTCTACTTGGGTTTCATCTGACCATTTTTAAAATTCTTTAATAAAATCAAAGTCTATGCAAAATTTCATTATTATTGCTTAGATAGCACTTTTTCAGTGGAATTACATGCTATGTCTCCATAAGATTTCCTCCTGACCAGTAAAAGTTTAATTAAAATTATGAATTAAATTATATAACTGCCAGATTTTCACCTGACATCAGTAAGCACTACTTTAGTGGAGTTATATGCAATGCCTCCGCAGGATTTTAACATTACCATTAACTGTTTTCCTTGGGATTTTCACTTAATCACTACTATGCTTCTACTTGGGTTTCATCTGACCATTTTTTTAAATTCTTTAATAAAATCTAAGTCTATGCAAAATTTAATTATTATTATTAAAATTATAAATCAAATTATAAAACTGCCAGATTTTCACCTGACATCAGTAAGCACTACTTCAGTGGAGTTATATGCAATGCCTCCGCAGGATTTTAACATTACCATTAACTGTTTTCACTGGGATTTTCACTTAATCACCACTATGTTTCTACTAGGGTTTCATCTGACCATTTTTTAAAATTCTTTAATACAATCAAAGTCTAAGCAAAATTTCATTATTATTGCTAAGATACCACTTTTTCAGTGGAATTACATGCTATGTCTCCAAGAGATTTCCTCCTGACCAGTACAAATTTAATTAAAATTATATAATAAATTATATAACTGCTAGATTTTCATCAACTTACATTAGTAAGCTCTACTTCAGTGGAATTACTGGGGTTTCATCTCACTATCTTTTAGAATCTTTAATAGAATCAAAGTCTAAGCAGAATTTTCATTATTATTGCTAAGATAGCATTTCTTCAATAGAATTACATTAAATTAAATTATTTAACTACTGGATTTTAAACTGACATCAGTTAGCACTACTTCAGTGGAATTACACCCCATGCCTTCACAGGACCACAAAGCCCCTTCTTCAGTGGACTACACACTATGCCTCTTCTGGATTTTCATCTTATTATCTTACAGCACTACATCAGTAGAATTGCATGCTGTGTCTCTCCAGGACTTTCCCATGGCAGTTGTTAGAACTCCTTCAGTAGAATTACATGCTATGCCTCAACAGGATTTTCCTTTATCATAAAGTAACACTCCTTTGACCTTCAGTGGTTTAAGATTAACCAGGTGAAAATACTTTAGTTAACAGGGGAATTAGAGGCTATACCAAGGTAGATTCTCACTTGACATCAGCACAGCACTCATTCAGTGGAATTGAACGCAATGCCTTTACAGGACAATAAAGGCCTTTCTTTAATGGAATACTTGCAATGCTTCATAAAGTAACAATCCTTCAATGGTTTAAGGTTAACACTGTAAAAACACATATTTAGTCATGGTTAGAAATACAGGATGACATCTGCTGTGTAACTCTTACCTCTCAATCTCACCTTAAAAATGAAACAAAGATGCTAAACAGTTTTAAACACAAGATTTCATGCTATGCTGATACCTCAACATTGGAGAATAATTATCATTGTTGAAGGTTGTACTAAATAAGGTTTCCTCCTGACCAGTGTAAATTTATTTTATATATTAATCTTGCAAAGTCATTCATGGCAGCAACTTTGTAAAGTGAGAAGAAACTGGGGATTTGTGGGATTCAAAGTCAAGCGTGCAGATTTAATACCTACTGAATTGCCAGTGGAAGACTGAGTTTTTTTACTCAGTAATCAAATACTAACAACCTATGGCAAATGCTTTAATAAAACCATCTCTTTAATATTCTTTCCTAAGCAATTTGTACAGCAGAGTTTCCAGCAGATCATTATCATGCCTCTAAAAGGTTGTCTCTTCATGAATGAGGTTGTTGATAACTCAATGCCATTATTAATCCACATTCTTACTATGTTGGTTATCTTTTGAAGAAGATCCAATGTTTTCAAGTTCCCTATTTTTTACTTCATTCTCTAATTCCTTGTTGAGTTGTTGTAAGTTCTTTGGCTATTCCATTTGTATCAGTTTTTAGATCATAAATTGTATGCATTAAGAAGATTTCATAACATTATGTCACTTTATCGCATCATAAATTGCATTTACTTCTGAACTTTTTTCTGAAAAGTATTGTTAATGGTTCATATGCCACCAGTTTAAAGTAACATTTTATTTAATTTTGTATCCTTTACAGCTGCAAAGAATTGAGGTTTAATGAAACCCTCCTGATCTCCAGGGGATAGGATCACATTGTTGCTGGACCGGTAGAATTTTAATCCTGCCTCCAGACACATCTGTTAAATAGAGCACATCATAAACACCAAGCTTTAAAATCAAAACCTTTAAAGCAAAAAACATTTTAAGCAGATTCTAGCAAATTGTTCATAATTTGTTGGGTTTGAACAGTGAAACTTATAGGCATGGCATTTTAAAGTGATATTTGAGGTCATTAGANATTGCCATTTTCCAAATAAGAATTTATTTTAAAATCTAAAGCAAATATTTTTGAGGTTACTTGATGTGACATATTCCTTGACATCAATGTAAATGAAGATCTGAGATTGATGCCGCATACCTACAGTACAAAACCAATATTTAGACAAGCATTTCTCCCATTTTAATTAGTGATTTCTCCCGTTTTAATCAGTGTTATCTTTGTTATTATAATCTGTGAAACCCATCGATTAATGAAGTTTGGTAAAGACTAGTACATCAAGAAATTAGCAAGATAAAAAGTTAATGAATTATTGAGCCTTTAAAATAACAATCAAAGGCTTTGAGAAAGAACTGTCAGAGACTTGGTAAATTATGAAAAACATCTGTTGTCAAAAGAACTGTCTACTTTTGGATTATTATCTGGATAAAATATTTCCCTGAGATAACCCCTTCGTCTCCAGGTTCTCCAGCAGACATGTGAATATGCTGACGGTTCATCCTACTCAACCCTTGGGTCCTAACACAACATTTATAATTTACACCTTACAGAAGCAGCATTGAATGTCCAAGTGGTTAAGTACCAATTTAACTAGGAAATAAGCACTATTTTATATTTAAATTTGGACATTTGAATAAGAAATAAACATAAGAATAAACCTTGCCTAATGGACTGCCAGGCTTTAAATGTAGTTCCATGAATGGCTTTGGGAACATCTTCTGCATCACTTATCTACAGAAACCATGACATCATGATTAGAAATTATTCATCAGTGAAACTTTTTTAAAGATTGCTTTAAAGTCAGGATTAAATGTCAACCTACTACTTGTTTGAGAAATATCGGAAATAATGCTAAATCATCAACAATATCTGGTACTTACTCAATACTTAAATGAAGTTTCTAAATTATATAATGTCATTCCTCTGTCATTTCCACACTGACGTTCTTAATTGAGTGTCCCTAAATACAAAGCCTAATTACATAAGACTTTAATGAATAAGTCTGAATATAATCTGCGGTAGAATCAGGCTATTCTATCAAAGATTAACAATTTTTAGACAGTTTTAAACAAGTTATTATATCAATATAATTAAACAAGACATTCATATATATATATTCCCTAAAGTTTAGATTTTAAATAAAAATACCATTAATAAAGAATGTTTCAGCTTTTTTACTTTTCATTTCCAACAAATTTAACATTTTATGATTTAACACCCCTTTATTATTTCTTTTAAATAGTTATATAGGGTTCTCTGCAGCATATTGAAGATCTATATAATAAAACTCTTCGCTCATTTATATATTTGCAATAGCTGGCCGTAAGGCTGGACTAAATTAGCTGAAATTCTAAGAGGGAACTTGGCAACGCCGGGCACTTTAACTACTATATAATGAAATTATATAAAAAATGAAAATAGTGATTAGTTTGACATTGAATAGTTTACACTCATTAATGAGGACTGTAATCATAATTTCCTGTGACCCTCCATTGCTATTGATATGTCCGAATCACAACAGTACCCTTAAAAGCTTTGTCTGATCAAGAATAAATTAGATATCCGTTTTAAAAACTGATAAATTTCCTTCATGGGTTCTCTACAAAAATTGCATGAATATTTCTGATTTTAGAAACAATCGAGAAATTAACAGAATTGAACACTTCAAGCTAAAAAAACGTTCCACAGTTATGATCAGATTAAATTAAATTGCAAATACAGTCCCTTTCATTGATGTAAAACAGAAACTAGAAAATACCTTTAAACCGTGAATGTGTGAGGACATCTTTGACAGGAAGGTATCCTCCCTCCTAGAAAATAATGTTGAATTGACCGGATCCAAACAATCAATTCATTTCATTTTAATTAGCAAATTAAAAACACTTCAGTGTTACAAATTATTGTTAATATTATCAGTTGGAAAGGAAAATTTTTATCTGGAAAAAAAATTAAACGAAAAGCAAGAAAGGGCACAAAACATCTCACCAAGAATTTGAATCCGTTCTTTTCCGCATTATGACGCAGTAACCAAGCTAATGCCTACAGAAGATACGACAGATCAAAGTTAAGAAATTAATCTGACAATCCACTCTAAAAATGGAAAGTCTGTTGCAATTACATGTTTAGTCCCTTCATGACAAAATTTTATCTGTGCGCTTCCCTTGGAAAGTTTTACACGATCAAATGCTTCTGCCATTCTTAAAACAAGAAGAGACTTCTTTCTGAGACCTCGGCCTTGATTTCCACGGAATAATGATCGTCTTATTATTATTATTTTTTAATAATCAATTCATGTTTAAATCTGAAAAAATATAAATTTCTAATATTTAGTTTTGAACAAATATTCCGGTGAGAAGGTATCCACCGCCCCCCGACATCAGAACTGTAGGATGTGTTCTCTACAATATCAATCAATCAATCAATTTTAATCACTAAGATAAGAAATAATTAAATTGGTACTTTCATCCAAGGTTTCTTAAAGGACCTGTTTTAATAGACGAATGCAGCATAAAGACATCATATAATAAACTTATTCATCATATTTTTGTTGGTAAAAGTAGCACATTTCCCCACTGAAATAAACGATAATTTTAAAAATTCTGATCAATCAACATTTTGGTGTAGATCGTATTTGCGGCATTGCGCTATTTCCGTCACGTCATAAGATAAATGCGGTTTTTCGCAATTTACTCTTTATCAATATATTTATGTATGTAGTAATTTCTGATTTATCTATGTTCGTTTATCTATCTTATCATGTTTTATGTTGACCCTTAATGACCAGTACGGTCAGTTTTAATTTCACCTTTTGTGAAAATCCGCGAACTATTTTTGTTTTGTTTTACGATGTACACAAAGAGAACATGTTCACAATTAATTTAGAAGATGGGTGCGAAGCGCCCTATAAGGCTAGTATATTACATTTCTAAATGTTTGCTAAAGGTTATATTTGCATTTTTTTAGGGCAGTGAAAAAAATTGTATTTAAGAAACCTTGAATGAAAATTGTTTATGACCTAAACTGTGGTTGTGTGGCCTTTCGAGAAGAATCTTGAAAAAAAACCAAGAAAACTTAACAAAAATATTTAAGAAAGTAAACATCACATTTTTATTTGTAAATAATATAAGGAGTTACCAAATTCTTGATTTGATTTATCAGTTTTGGATTTGAGTGATTATAAAAGAGCATTTTCAATGATTGATTAATTGATTGATTGTATTCCTGGGGTAGGACTTGATGATTCCTAAGCCAGGTTTCTGATAAGTTGACCATCACAGCTAGTCCGGCCTCTTTAATCTGCATATACGCTTCCAGTAGAGGTTCCTAGATTCATATAGATAGATAGATATACCTTGTAAGGACTGTATAGTGTATGCACAGAAAGGTCTAGATGAACCAATATATATTAAGCCAGGTACAGGATAGATAGATAGATAGATAGATGGATAGATAGTTAGATAGATAGATATTTAGATATTTAGATTGATATATCTACCTTGTAAGGACTGTATAAACAGAAAGGTCTAGATGAACCAATGTATTTAGCCAGGTACAGGATAGATATATAGATAGATAGATAGATAGTCCTGATTCACAATAGTACCAACGAAACCTTTAAATTATCAATAATGAACAAGATGTTGTCGTTTTTTTATGTTCAAGTATTCAATTCTGAAAATTTATTTTTCCCTGTTGTAGAAATGCACAAGTCACTTTTATAGCAAAAGCACAATTGAAAAAAATCAGTTTTCAAAACTTCAAACATTGATATCTAATTCATACTTGATCAGACAAAGCTTTTAAGGGTACTGTTGATCAAGTATTAGGCATTGCCATCTTTGTATGAACTTGGAAGGTCCCTTGAAATCATGCCTTTATTATAGTTAGATCAAGGTTATATTTGCATTTTTTTAGTGCAGTGAAAAAAATTGTATTTAAGAAACCTCGGATGATAATGAAAATTGTTTATGACCTAAAATGTGGTTGTGTGGCCTTTCGAGTAGAATCTTGAAAAAAAACCAAGAAAACTTAACAAAAATATTTAAGAAAGTAAACATCACATTTTTATTTGTAAATAATATAAGGAGTTACCAAATACCTGACTGCAAACTCCAACCCATGATGTACAGCGACACTTTGCCAAGAGAAGATCTGTTTCTCTTCAATGACATCAAGCGGAACTTAACAAGAAAACAAGGAGTCTGTAGCAGACGGGATGCCGATGTTAGAGGACTGAAAGTTCGATGTGTCCGTCGAGATCAGCACAGGACAAGAGGTTGCGATGGCTTTCCGCAAGGGTTGCTATCCCTCACGCCGTGGAACGGTACCAGGGGAAAGATCAGGATGAAACCCGGAGCAGATCAAATCCAAATAGAGAGGTCGAAGTCCAATGCTGATGATATTAGATGATAAGTTAATGAGAGATAGTTAGCTTCGTAAACTATACTCTCATCACCTTTTCCCCGGGTATTTTGTAGTAATTTCTGATTTATCTATGTTCGTTTATCTATCTTATCATGTTTTATGTTGACCCTTAATGACCAGAACGGTCAGTTTTAATTTCACCTGTATATAAAATAAATTAGTTGAGTACAACCTGTTGATTTATACAGACGTATCTGGAGCCTAGAGTTTTGGCTAGAGAGAGAGAGAGTCGGTTAGATTCTAAAATAAGAATTTGAGTGTAGTTATCGCATCTAGATATCTTACATGTATATACGAGCTGACGATAATCTACTCGAAAAATAATTTCTTCAAAAAAAAAATCTTGCATTATGGCGCGCGATTCAGTAAAAGAATATGCTATAATCAAAAAAGAGTTAATTCATTATAAATCCTATAAGAATTTATATTTCAAAATCAAAATTTTTGGTTTAATCCATTCGTGTCTGCATGACGCTGTTTTAAAGAAATAAAAACAATTTTCAGACTTAAAATAATTACCTTTACAAATTAAGACATTTTGCCAGAAGGCAAAACGGGTGAGGGTCGGACGGCATAGGGGTAAGCGCATGCCGCAAATCCCATTTTGTGACGTCATCTATGGATCAGTAAAACTGGCACGGGTCGCTTCCCCCCCCCCCTTGGCCTGTAAGCGTGATTTCAAGTGACCCTCCATACAAACATGGCAATACCTGATTCACAATAGTACCAACGAAACCTTTAAATTATCAAGAATGTTATGTTATGTTATGAATGTTTTCGTTTTTTTAATATTTAAGTATTTTATTCTGAAAATTTCTTTATTTTTCCCTATTGTAGAAATGCGCAAGTCACTTTTATAGCAAAAGCACAATTGAAAAAAATCAGTCTACAAAACTTCAAACATTGATATCATAATTCATGCTTGATCAGACAAAGCTTTTAAGGGTACTGTTGATCAAGTATTAGGCATTGCCATCTTTGTATGAACTTGGAAGGTCACTTGAAATTATGCTTCTATATATAAATTTGACTTGTCTGTCTGTCTGTCTGTTTGTCTGTTTGTTTGTTTGTTTGTATCCCATAAACGTCAAAACGGCTGAACCGATCGGGCCCAAATTTTTTGTGGGACCTCTAGGAGCCCAGGGAAGGTTTATGAATCATCAAAATTTCAAATATTTGTCTCTATCAAAATTCGATCGTCATTAAATTTTTTAAAATTTTGAAAATCCGCGAAATTTTTTGTAAAAATCCGCGAATTATTTTTGTTTAGTTTTACGATGTACACAAAGAGAACATGTTTACAATTAATTTAGAAGATGGGCGCGAAGCGCCCTCTAAGGCTAGAAAGAAGGGCGCGAAGCGCCTTGAATTTCTAGTAACTTTAAAAATAACAAGCTTGGGAACCCAGCGCTGCCAAGGTTACTAAAAGTTACTCCCGCCGTTTACCCGCACTTGAACGATTTCACCGGGAAACTTTTTCGCTATTAAAGTCGACCAACTCAACTAAGAATCTTAAAACCAAGTTATGATCGGACAAACAAACAGAGATTACAACTTTATATATAGATATTCTTAACATAGAATCTAATGTAAAATGTCCAAGTATTATTATAATTGTCAAATTCAAGTGCGCGAGTTTTGAATTTAGGATTATAACTAAAAACGCTCAAATATGTTCCTAAATTTTTCATTCCAAATCTGGAATTTTGCGCATTTTTTCCTCAAGGGTTTTGATCATTCAGGACCTTAACCTTAGAAACATATTTAAAAAAAGTAAACAATCCATGAAAGAAATTCGTTCTCAGAAAGAAGGATATAGTACAGAGATAACCAGAAAACTCTGGAATAGGAAGACGACATTAAGTCTCAAGTTAAGACTTTGAGTAGACAAATGAACATGAGACACAGCAATTGTGCAGTGTAACCAGACCTGTTTAAGTTGATAAGTAAAACTATTTGCTTCATAACAGCAAATATACTTAAGTATTGCTATAATGTCGTCTTCCTATTCCATAGTTTTCTGGTTCTCATAGTATATTACCTTAGATTCATTCTGAATGTTTTCACCACCTCTCCACCATTCTCCTCTCTATCACAATTCTCCTCTTTATCTCCATTCTCTTTTGTGTCTCCGTTCTTCTTCATTCTTGGGTATAAGACTTTTAAACCATTTTCTTCTTATATACGCAATAGATAAAAGTAAGATTAGTATCCAATTGAATTCGATATCAGCTTATACCTCCCTTCTTTTTTCGCAAACATTCCCTTTTATGACTCACAAGACTCATCGATATCAGCCCCAGTAAACAAGATTTGATTTAATTCGAAAACAAAATTTTAAAAACATCCCATCATTCATGCAATCCAGATTTGAAGTAGAGCAATAATTTCTTTTCTTTGACACAATATTTAAATATTTTTCATGATTTTTTGCAAGTTTTATTTCACCTAGGGATCTGAGATGTTGGATGTTTATAGTTTTCAACTGCTCACTCTGCTCAGAACAAACAACATTTTTTTGTAACATAATCCACTCAATCCTTAATTAGGATCCCGAATCCGGAATTCAGAATAATTTTAGCTTCATGGATCCGGATCAGCAAAAATATCTACAAAACTACCAATTATGAAGAAAACTTGGCGCAAGTTAGAACTTTCAAATTAAAAAAAAAACAATTTAAAGAGCAGTAGTTCCACCTTCTCTACCTAGTACAACTACTTTTTGCCTTTTAATAAATCTAGTCGCAGATTATAACAATAAGTTTAAATTAAATATTTAATAAAATGTTGAATTTGATCTTTCCTTCTGTAGACCCATAGAGTTGAGTGCTGTAGTTTGAGGTTGACCAGTTTGATAAATATGGACCAACTCTCCACAACCTAGATAAACACAACAACAACATAGAGTTAAGTGCTGTAGTTTGGGGTTGACCAGTCTGAGAAATATGGACCAACTCTCCACAACCTAAAAAGGCACAACAAAATAGGAGTTTTATATAAATTTCTCAGACAAGGACATCAGATAGAACTAATGTTGGTCGCGATCAACTCCTAAAATCTTTAGGCTTCAGCCTATACCCCCTTTCATTTTACTTTGAACAGTCCCTTTAAGGGGGCTGTATATTACGTAATTTTAAATTACTCTCCATTTAAATACTGGCATTTAAAATTCACAACCTAGGAAACACAACAAAATGTCATATTAGGTGCCACAAGAATACTTAAATTAATTTAGTTTGGTTTTCTTCAATAAATCGAAATATGAACAGAAATCTTAAAATCTCCGGTAATATTAAGAGCACAAAAAAGGTAAACCACATTTTTAAACTAATTTTTTAAATCGTATTTTTTTTCAAAATAAATGTCTCGACTGAATATTGAATGCCGAACTACATTGCAAGCAAAACGACATGTTTCCTATTCTTCCCATTAGGAAAACTCAGTATCTTTTCCAATAAGACACTCTGCCTGTAACTTCAATCTCTATTATCTTACCTCCAATACGTTCCAGCATTGCAGCGACTACAAGCCCCTGTGCACCCGTCTCATAAATCAAATATCTCTATCAAAAAAACGGCCACAACTTAATTTATAATCTTATTCAAATATCGGCCCCCACTAAAAATATAATCTTATTCAAATATCGGCCACAACCAAAGATATAATCTTATTCAAATATTGGCCCCCACTAAAAATATAATCTTATTCCAATATCGGCCACAACTAAAGATATAATCTTATTCAAATATCGGCCCCCACTAAAAATATAATCTTATTCCAATATCGGCCACAACCAAAAGAGTTAAGTGCTGTAGTTTGAGGTTGACCGGTTTGATAAATATGGACCAACTCCCCACAACCTAGATAAACACAACAACAACGTAGAGTTAAGTGTTGTAGTTTGGGGTTGACCGGTTCCACAACCTAACAAAGCAAGTTTTGTATAACTCGGACACAGTTTCACAACAAAATGTCATTAGGTGCAGAAAGAATACTTAAGTTAATTTAGCCAAGTTTAGTTTTCTTCAATAAATCGAAATCTGAACAGAAATCTTAAAATCTCCGGTAATATTAAGAGCACAAAAAAGGTAAACCACATTTTTAAACTTATTTTTCTAAATCATACTTGTAAAATAAATGTCTCGACTGAATAGTGAATGCCGAACTACATTGCAAGCAAAACGACATGTTTCCTATTCTTCCCATTAGGAAAACCCTGTATCTTTTAAATTAATGTTTCAAAATATAACTTGTAAAATCAAAGTCTCAAATGAATATCGCAATACATTCTTCCAATAAGACACTCTGTTTGTACCTTGAAACTCTATTATCTTACCTCCAAGTCGTTCCAACATTGCAGCGACTACAAGCCCCTGTGCACCCGTCTCATAAATCAAATATCGGCCACCACTAAACATATGTTTCTATTAAAAAAACGGCCACCAGTAACATGTTTTTATATTACAAAAAAAATCGACCACAACCAAAGATATAATCTTATTCAAATATCGGCCCCCACTAAATATTATCTTATTCCAATATCGGCCACAACTAAAGATATAATCCCATTTAAATATCGGCCGCCACTAAATAAATATTTCTACTAAAAAATCGGCCACGCATGAACAAATAATTCAAATATGGCAGAATTATGTAGACGTAGTTAAACCTCTTCTCGTGGTTTAAATTGAAGAGAAGTGGCTTAACTTAGTCCACATAGTTTAACTACTATTCCCTGTTATAGTTGCTACCTCTGTATGTTTACCATGTTGAGGATTTGAGAGAGTGAATCTATTCTTAAATTCATGATTTTCACCGGATCTACTTTATACAGAATATCCATCAGTAACCTGTAAAGGGACTATTAGCTGGTTTCAAGGGGTTCCAACATTTCATCAATGTTATTAAAAAGTCAAAACGNACCTGATCAATCAATCAATCAATCAATAGATTAGCCAATTCATTCATTCAGTTAACTAATAAATAAATCCTCTCTCGCACAATCATTCAAACATCAATCATTTTTCAGATCAACCAATCAGCCAGTCAATAAACATCTTGCAATTTAATATCAACCCATTAATCCGTTCATCCTTCATCATTATAATTTCAGTAGACCCTAATTTAATCAATCAATCAATAAATACAATTATTTCTCTATTTTATACTAGGGTTGACCAGAAAAAGAACCAGCAGAGACATCTATTAAAGATTTATAAAAAAATGGAACTAAAAGTTCACATTTCAAACGTATTTAAGATGAGAAAATGTCGCTAGTATATTGTTTACCTGTAAGAAATAAAGACTCAAAATCTACAACTTCATCAGCCTTCTTCAGTTGGAATACTTTCTAGAATCAAATTCATGGTGAAAGGGACTGTCGTCGTAATTTCCCAAGAGGGCATGCCCGATTTACAATGATACCCATTAATCATTTATATCTGTTCCGATTTAAAAAATGTTTGATTTTTTTCTGAAAAAAATCTGCGGGCCATGTTCATTTATTCTTGATCAGACATTGCCAATAAGAGTAATATATACATTCTCAATTGGGGAAAATATTGGAATTTTTTGTGCAAAAAGTATAAATAAAAAACTAAGCAATTTAATGTAAATTTTTAATTTTTATATAATGGTAAAACTATTAGTTAATAACAACATCAAAAATACAGAAGATTTCGAAAAAGGTCGTCTTCATATTCCAAAGTTTTATGGGTGTCAATGTATAATATTACAAAAAAGTTTGCTGACCTTGTTAGCAGGATCTGAAACCATCTCAAAAGTAGTTCCATACTTCTCCCCAACCACACCTTTAGATTTTACATTACATTACATGGAAAAAAAAGATTATTTATTTTTTTGTAAAAGAATTACACCATTTTCAGATACTTTGTCAAAAAAAGAAGCAAATTTTGCAAATATGTGAAATTTCAAGTAAGATAAAAATTTATTGATTGTTTTAACACATACAGTCATAACTAGAAAACTTTGCAATAGGAAGACGATTTTAAGACTCAAGTTATGCTTGGGACACAGCAATTGCACAGTAGTGAAAACAGACATTTTTCACTTAATTAGTGATTTAATAAGTGCCTAGTAAAACTTTTTTGCTTTGTAACAACCAAAAACACACATAAGTATTGCTGAAAAGTCGTCTTCCTATTCCAGAGTTTTCTGTTTATCCCCGTAGTATATATTATTTTTTTTTTATTAACAACTAAAATTACACCATTAATAAAAGAATATTTAAAGAGACTGTAAATCAAAGTTTTCAATGACTTCTAATTGATAGTCGCATTTCCGCGTCACAACGATAATGGGAAATAGTCGAAATTTAACACTGGTCAAACTAGAAAGGGATGTCTTCCACAATCCACATTGTTGGTCAAATAAAGGTTGTAAATTGAACATACCAATCTAAAAATGAAGGGTCACCTGAAATTACTACTNAGGGGTGGGGGAGTGCTATAGAAACATATAATAGATTACGGAATCTACCTGATAGGTTGACAATATCCCTCCCTAGCTGCAGGTTCTTCCCTGGGTTTAGAACATGTGTTCTCATATAATTAAACTTCTGCAGGATAACCGTTTCACCAACAGTTATACGCAATTCATCTGCATCTGTCGTACGCAATTCAACTTCACCAGTCGTATGAAAATTTCCATCTTCCACCGTACATGGTTTGCCCCCCTCTAAGATCAGATAACAATGAAAAAATACAATTTTCAAATACAACATAAAACGTTAAGTTGTTAATTCGAAAGTTTAAAAAAATAATAATATTCGTCTATGCCAGAAATCCGCTTATGAAAATTCTTAGTTTTTATTGCTAATGCAAACTGTAGTCAGTGTCCGAATTTAATGAATTTGAGCCGCATCTTAATTCTGCCAAAAACCGGTTTCAATTGAGCGCCGGCTTAAATCTTGAAACATTGAATATAAGTTTAAGTGAAACCAACCATATTTGAGCCGCCGCTCAAATTCTTTAACTTCGGACTCAGAACATTTGAGTTGTGATCCTCGGGATCAAGCATTGATCTCCTTCTTATGCAGATTTTTAAATTAATTTAATTCCACTAATTTATTTAATGCAGGAATAACGTTAATTGAAGGATCATGCATTAATTCTCAAGTTAGATAGTGCCGACATTGGAGATCGAGATAAAGCGTTCATACTGGGGAGACGAGGAAGGGGGGGGGGGAAGTTTACTTTAACTCATATTTTCAGATCTACGGGATTAAAAAAAATTATTTGAAAATCATAAAATATCTTGATCTCCCTGTTACAGTTCTGGTGTCAACTTCCATTTTTATCTGAAAAATCTATTTTTAAACATTTTAAACAACTTTATTCAAACTGGAATACAAGCGGATGGATTAATCCCTTCTCCGGGTCTAAGATGAAATACAAGCGGATGGATTCATCTCTTCTCCAGGTCTACGATTGAATACAAGCGGATGAATTCATCCCTTCTCCGGGTCTAAGACTGAATGCGGAGAAACAACTTTATTCAATCTGACTGCGCGACACAAATTTCTCTGGATAGTCGAATACTTTAGGGAACTTGTCGCGCTGCTCAGGGGAGTAGTCGGCTAGGGTAGCAGGGACAGGTCTTAGGGGCTCAAGCTGACTTGTTATATTCTCCAGTAGATCTTCAGGGACCTAGGGGACAAAACATTATTTAAAAATATTAGGAAGATTTTAGTTTTTTAAAATTCATTCAATTCAAAAAGTTTGTTGAAGTTTTATGGCTGATTTATGACTGTATTGAAGTAATCAATTTTTTCCTCTTTATTTAGAAACCCATTTAAAAAATTTTATTTTGAATTTTTACAATTATTTGCCGAATTATCACGTTTTCTTTCAAGTTTTTTTTTCATGCCCACATGAAAAATGAAAAATTAGACATCAACAAGACATGCCCACCTCCCCTAAAATCATTTATTTTCACCAATTTTATTCCTATCTGAAAAAACCCCAAGTTTTTAAGAAAATAAACAACCATGAAAAAAAGTACCTTGTCCTCTGGAAATATATGAAGTCTAGCCATATTCTTGGGTCGAGTTAAATTCCCTTCAAGGTTATTATAACAAGCCTGTAATACAAATATTTATGTCATTTTTGGTTTGTAGGCTGGTTGGTTGGCTGGTTGGTTGGTTGGTTGGTTGGTTGGTTGGTTGGTTGGTTGGTTGGTTGGTTGGTTGGTTGGTTGGTTGGTTGGTTGGTTGGTTGGTTGGTTGGTTGGTTGGTTGGTTGGTTGGTTGGTTGGTTGGTTGGTTGGTTGGTTGGTTGGTTGGTTGGTTGGTTGGTTGGTTGGTTGGTTGGTTGGTTGGTTGGTTGGTTGGTTGGTTGGTTGGTTGGTTGGTTGGTTGGTTGGTTGGTTGGTTGGTTGGTTGGTTGGTTGGTTGGTTGGTTGGTTGGTTGGTTGGTTGGTTGGTTGGTTGGTTGGTTGGTTGGTTGGTTGGTTGGTTGGTTGGTTGGTTGGTTGGTTGNTCCTACCATATTGATCTTCTAATCCTACCATATTGATCTTCTAATCCTACCATATCGATCTTCTAATCCTACCATATTGATCTTCTAATCCTACCATATTGATATTCTAATCCTACCTTCCAAAGTATAAGAGTAGGATCTCTATCATGAAGTTGCCAGGCAGGAATCCATAGTGCACCATTAGTTACTCCAGAGTGCTTATGTGCCTGAATTCATTCATTCATTTATTTGTTCATTCATCCTTTAATTCATTCATACTTTCATCCTTTCATCCTTTCATTCATTCATTCATTCATTCATTCATTCATTCATTCATTCATTCATTCATTCATTCATTCATTCATTCATTCATTCATTCATTCATTCATTCATT